AGTAGACCTCAAGGGTTATGATGGTATCTGAAGAACTGTTCTGCTGCAATATGAGTATGAAGGCATGTTTGAAGCATGGAGATCAGTCTGTGAGGGGCAAAAGTCATAGGAAATTTAAAAAATCAACTACTGTCTAAGACTATGATGCAGTGAGTCCACCTAAGTAGAGGAGTGGCACAGGCAGTGAGAACTGGGAAATTTTGGAAGCAAGTAGGAGGTCCCTATCCATAAGAACATAGGCACATCAGGAAGATGAAGGGGCAATACCAACTTCACAGGTAAGACACTAACAGAGTTCTTTATATTTCCTCTGGCAGAGTCAATGTTAACTCAAGGATAATAGACAGAAACATACCAAGAGGAGCGGGGGTCAGGTCACCTCAGTTTCAAAGGTTAGCATGTTGCAGAGTCAGGGACATGAGAAAAATCAGAAAAAGTAAAGGCTGTATCTTTCATAGCATCACACAGTTTTTAATATAGACTAAACGTATTGTTAGCTGCCACAGCAACCCTTTACACCAATGTTATAAATGCTTCCACTGCATTAAAGGTTTTTATGTTGTAAATTTAGACCTCAGGTTTGTGTTACGTTTGTGTTAACCTCATGTTTATGTTATGGGCCTCATGTTCATGTGTTAAAATCCTAACTCTCAATGAGATGGTTATTAGAAGGTATTTGGGGGTAATTAGGTCATGAGGGCAGAGCCCTCATAAATGGTATTGGTGCTTTTATAACGAGACACACAAAAACGCTTGCTTCCTCTCTCTGCTCTCTGCCCAGTGAGGATAAGTGAGGTTGCAAACCAGGGAGGAGACTTTGACCAGACCCTGGATCTGTCAGCACATTGATCATGAACTTCCCAGCTTCCAGAACTGTGAGAAAAAAATGTTGTTATTTAAGCCACCCAGTCTACATTTGTATAGCAATATAGAGTCTATATTGTTATACGCAACTAAGACAAGCATTTTCCTAAATTCCTAAATCTGGTGCTGAATTACAGACAATGGGTAAAATTACACATGCAACATTTGCCCATTATCAAATTTCTGCCAATCCTTTTGACTGTATCCCTTACAGTCCTTACATTGTTGTAGGCAACCATCACCATATATGCATGCTTATTTGAAACTGATGTTTTACCAAGAAACCATTTTTCTTTCAGCTTCTTACAGCACAGGCTATTCATTCTCACATGCCCATTTTCACATAGTTCATGGTTCTCTCATGAACCATGAGAGCCAGGAGTTAACAATGACCTCCTCTTAGCTCCCTACTGCTGATTTTAGGGTATTGTAATGCCAAAGCACTTCTCCTTGGGTGCTCTGACACCTGGCTATTACATCCTCTGCTTATCTTTGCATCTGTGTTCTGCAGACCTTGTGGTCACTCTAACACAATGGCTGCCAATGTTGGCTGCACATTAAAATTACCTGGAAAGCTTTTGAAATCTGCCCTTGCCAAGGTCCTATTTCACCAATTAAATGTATTTGAAGGGGCAGAGATTGTAATCCATATCTCTTTTTTTAACTGGTTTGGTGATTTCAATGTGAAGCCAAAGTTGAGACCTTTGTTCTAACCTAAGAATTGAGGATGCCAGCTCTTTGTTCATCGGTTTCCTCTTCATCCTAACTCTTGCTATCATCCTGGAATCTTAATGTTCAAGAGTACAACCTGTCCAACACTCTGGGTCCTAGTTCCTTGACCAGTTCAACTCTAACAACATGTTCCTCAATTTCACTTCAGCTTTTAGACACACTCTATGAATTTATTATAACCTGAGCTGCATGACATCTGAGACACTAAATAAGCAAGAGTTTATGGCCTTGAACACTATAGTTCCAGCTTGCTGACTCCTTTTCCGTGTGACACTATGCCTCTACCTGGGCCCCGGTAGCTTGCTGCAACCTTGTAGAGGAGAACCTGCTTTCTAACTCTGCCAGTCTTCTGATTCTACGTCCTTTCCGATTGGATAATCCTCTATGGTGCGTCACTCTGGTAACTTTAACCTCTTGTGTTCCTTTCACATTCACAACTCCAGTTATATATTAAACCAAGTCTGCCTCCTCTACTGCTATGCCTTAGATGCTGAGAAGAGACTACTGAAGAAAAAAAATCCAACTGTACAGATTTATGCCACTTCCATTTTTATGGTATCCGAACAGCAGCTCCTAGAACTACTAAGGAATCTTTTCATATATCCTAAATGAGCCCCTATTTTCCTTACTCCAATGGTTATTATACTTCTTGTGCTCCTATCTCACTCCTTTTGCCCCTCACATTAGAAGTAAACCTTGCTTTTTGTTTTGGAGAACATAAAAATATCTTTAGTTTCTAGACTTCAACCCTTTATTAACTGATCTGCATCCCCATCCACATTTACCTGTGTTAGAGGGGCACTGCTCTAAGCTCCATACTGCTGACATTTTTGGCCAGAGAATTCTTTGTTGGGGGAGCTGTTCTCTGCATTCTAGGATACTGAGCAACATCCATGACCTCTACTCACCAGATGCCAGTATTATCCCCCACCTTGCAGTTGAGAAAACAAAAAACATCTCCAACTATTGCCAAATGACTCCTGGAAGACACAATCACTCTCAGTTGAGAACCCTCTGCTTGGAGCAAGACTAATCTGTCAATCTGTCTTTCCAATAAAGTATTTTCTGCTTTCTCCAAGATCCACTGTGCCCTTGGTGTCCTTTCTTTATCTATCTTCAACCTGAACCTGTCTATTGGCTTTGTCTCCTAAATATATAATTTTACATCTGTCCATTATTTAAAAAATAATTCATGGACACCAGGCCTCCCTTTAGCCACTGAGGAATCTTTTTTTATTCTTCAAAGTGAAGCTCTGAGAAGGGCTTCCATGAGCGTTCACATGCTGGGGCCTCATTCCACCTTTACTCTGCTCTTCAATCCTTGCCACTCTACTGATACCGGTGCAAAGCTACCAGGGTCCTCTGGATGACCAAATGCTTCGACAACCTAACTGCTTGGCTGTTTCCAGCTAGACTCTTCTTGAACCTCTCTACCTCTTCTGGCTTCCAGGGCACTTTTTAAAATGTTTATTATTTTTTCTTTTTTTCCTTTATTCTTTCTCAATCGTCTCTTCTTTTAACTGTCCCTTAATACTAGTGTTTAACTGGGTTCTGTCCTTGGCCTTCTCCTCTTATAACTCTATGACATACTTTCTGGGCTCTGCCTTCATTACAAGCTTCCATTTACTGATATAACAGAACTAACACACTAATTCTCATTTGATTTTGAAGCTCTACATTCTCTCAAATTCCAATCCTGCATTACTGGCTCCCAGTGAATATTTCTCTCTGGGAGCACTACAGATACTATTAACAAATTGAGATATCTAAAACAGAGCTTGTCATCTCTTACTCTGCAAGGAATGGTGATTTCTTGCCCCTGTCTTCCCAAATCTTTCTTATTTATTTCATTACTTCTGTTGCATCACTGTTTATTCAGTTGTATAAGTCAAGACGCTTAGCAAAATCCTAGATTCCAACCTCACTAATAAAATCCAATCAATCATAAAATCCTGTCAATTACAGCTTATGTCCCCTGCCCTCCATCCCCACTAGTTCAGGTTTTCATATTTTATTTCCATGGATTCCGAATTTCCTTGTGCTAGGTCCTTAGCTACCTCAAATTCAGCAACTATTCTGCTGCACTAGAATGACCTTTCTAACACGCAAATCTGTTCATGTCATTCCCTGAATTACCTCCTTCAGGGGATCCCCTTCGTCTGGAGTATGAAATCTAAGTGTTTTAGCAGAGTATGCTACGCTCTTCTGTGGCCTGGTTCCTGCATTTCTCCTGTCCTTCTCTCTATTAGAACTCATGCCCAGACATAATCATAGATCCCATAACTTACTTACGTTATTCCCTCTGCTGGAAAGTTTTTTCTAACTTCACTGACTTAACACATATTTGTGCATCCTAGATGCCTCAGGTCAAGTATTTCCTCCTTAGGAACTCTACATGGACTCCCCCAGGGTATATTTAAGAGGGTTTCTTCGTATGTGTTCCCAATATACTGCGTATATATCTTCATTACAGTTTCTACCAGAGTCTACTGGACTTGCTTGCTTGCAGGTGTGTACGCCAGCCTGTAAGCAACTTAAGGGCAAGTGCCTTGCCTACTCCTGAAACTCCTGTTTCAGTGGGGATTAATAGAGTGCATGGACGAAGGCATTCAATAAATACATGCTGAATGACTGAATGATACATGTCAGGTTCAACTGTCAAAAAAATTTATTTTGACATTGTAATGATATGTACATGAAATGTATTTGTAAAAAAAACCTATGTTGGTTCATGGAATCAAGCAGCAGTGAGGTTATTCAGTCTAAGGGAAGAGCTAATGTCGTATAATAAAAGTTTAGTAAGCAGTACACATGACAGTACAGCACTTATTAAACATTCCGGCCAAAGCACTGCTAACCTCAGAAGAATACTGATTAACATCCCTGAAGGGCTGATGACACAGACGGAAACACACGACAGTTCTCTGGCTGCTGTGGCTGATAATACATCCACATTCATTTTAACATAAAAACACTTAAAATTACTTCCAAGTAAAAAGAATGCTCCAGAAAGATAGAACATCTTAGTTTTGTGAACTCCAGTGATCTCCAGCATAAATGTTTACCTCCCAGGTGGGGCTGATGGCACTGTCCGTACCACAGTTAAAGAAATAAGTGCAGAGTAGAAATAGCACCTAAAGCCACAAGTTCCACTTTGGGTCCTTGTACCATCACTTAGGCTGTGACCCGGAGTCTACTTTAACCTCTCTGAGCCTCCTCAGTTTCCTTATCTGGAAAATGGCTATAATATTTGCCTTACGTATTTCATAATGATGTAGGTACCAAGACATAAAAAATAATGTGAACAATGAAGGATAACAAGCATAAAAAATAAAGTAATATTTTATCCAGAGAGAGTGAAAATCAAAATACACATGCAAACACATATTCTTAAAAACATTTACCTTTTGAGGAGCTGGAGACTTTTCTATTTTAGTTTTTTCCTCAGGGCTTAAAGGCGGGGATCGCTCCTTTATCTCAGGAGGCAGTTCTTGATACAGTGCTGAAATTGGAGAAAGGAATTCATGCAATCAAACTGAGGAGCACTGCTTCATGGGGGAAAAACAATTGATGGTAGGGACAAATACGAAATTAAAGAAATATTCAATTCCTTGGTGTACCAATAAGATACCTAAAACTTACTTGTTATGGCAATTTGCAGTTTTACTCATTAGTTATCAAAAGAACTATGATTGGAAAATTTTAATCATCTGGATTTCAGAAAGGTAGAAGGTGTCATTTTCACTTATTATGTGGTCAGACAGATGCTTATTTTATCTCAATACACATTTACCAGGAACCTGCTAAATGCCAGGATATCTGCTAGGAACTGCTGGAGAATATATGGAGATCATCAAAAGATGGTCTCCACTAGCAAGGAGCTTACAATCTGGTCAGAGAAAGACATCTTTACAAGTAACTGTAAAATAAATGTGACATTATTTGAAAGTGAAATAATTACAAAGACAAACTCTGATGTGGGGATGGAAAACGCTTAATGGAAGAAGTGGTAGGTGTATCAGACTCTGAAGACTAGGTAGGATTTTACCAGTCAGAGGTATGCAGAAAAAATAATTTGGGGGCAGGGCACAGTGGCTCATGCCAGCACTTTGGGAGGCCGAGGCGGGTGGATCACTTGAGGCCAACAGTTTGAGGCCAGGCTGGCCAACATGGCGAAATCCCGTCCCTACCCCAAAATATAAAAATTAGCAGGGCATGGTGGCGTGCACCTGTAGTCCCAGCTTTGGGAGGCTGAGGCATGGGAACTGCTTGAACCTGGGAGGTGGAGGTTGCAGTGAGTCAAGATAGCACCACTGCACTCCAGGCTGGGAGACAGGCAGAGACTCTGTCTCAAAAAAAAAGGAAAGGATAATTTGGGAAGATGATATGAAATCAATAAGCATGGAGTTAGGACTCTATATGATGTTGAATCTATATACAGTGTTGAATTTAAGACTCTTATAATTCAATATTCTATGTAATCTATTGAAGCTACATAGGGTATTGAATCTAAAGAGCTATGTGCAAATTTTGAAGGGTTAAAATAAAAATATATTTTGGTTAAGAACATCTCTGAATTGAAAGAAATTACTGAAATATACTTGATCAAAATTGTACAACTAAAATTATGAGATACACTAATTGTCTTCGTATGTGGAGTGGTTTTATTATTGGGTTTCTTTATCTCATATTTTAAGGGTGTTAGATGCGATGGGGGAAGCTGATCATGTTGTTCTTTCCAGCCCTTAAGATACAAAGAGAATAAGTTCTTTATAATAGTGGGAGTATGAACTTCTTTTATTGTGTTGTTCTCTTAGAGGACAGGCTCTCAATTGAACAGTGGGTGGAGATTCTGCTCATACACTCCTTTAGATCATTTACTTTGCATAGTTGGCTTCAGATAAAGATCAAGGACAATTCTTCCTACTATTTTTAGACTAGAATATGCTACTGACAGTCATTTTTTTCTCTAATGTTAAAACTGGGCAATTGAGTTTTTTGTTAAATTCAGGTAAAAAAAGGATAAAAGGGAAAGGGAAATAACCCCTAATGAAGTGTGAGAATTCAATCATTACAGTCTCAGATTTTCTAAGTTTTTTTTTTTTTCCCCCTGTTTGTTCTAGTCTATACGAGGCTTTTTAAAGCAGCAGTGACTGATGCCAAAAGAAAACATAAATTATTCTGGGATACAATAAAGAATTATGGCAGTTGAAGGATGGTCATTATTGAGACAAATAATTAATTTCTTTTTGTAGCCATCAACTCATCACTGCAATATGCCTCAGAGGTCTGGCTTTGATCATTATGGAAGAAGAACAAATTTTATTAGCTTTTAAAATGAATTTATTTTTTGTGGAGATGAGTCTTGTTATATTGCCCAGGCTGGTCTCAAACACTTGGCCTCAAGTGATCCTCCCTTTTCAGCCTCCTGAAGTGTTGGGATTACAGGCATGAGCCACTGCATCTGGCCTTATTAGCTTTTCAATTCACTGTAGCTCAAACATCTATATCTTCTCAAGATCTGCAAGCCTAAGAGGTTATTTTTGTAAACTAGATTCTCAAGTTAAAGCACTTAATTCCACCCTGCCTAGAGACACACAAGTGAGAAAATTTAAAAAATATTTCCACTTGTATACGAAAATAATAATGGATTCTAATATTTCATTAAAATGAGGCATACTCCAGAGTGACCACGATTGTGCTGGCAGCTGTTGATTTAAAAAGCTTGATTTAAACAGAAGCTACCCCTGTTTAACCTCAGCTGTTGACCCTGTGGGAGAGCCAACGATGGGAAGAGGGAACTTGGCTATTTTAGATGATCTGGAAGTTAAAAGTACTGAACTTATGGAACTTATACACTGTCTTATGCCTACATGGGAATTAACCTGTTCTAAAATTTCTTCCTTATACGGCCTTATGTTTTTTCCATTACACAACCTCTTCTAAACACAAAAATATACCTCTAACAGAGTTTAAGAGTTGTATGTCAAAATTAGCTGGGCATGGGAGCATGCGCCTGCAGTTCCAGCTACTCAGGAGGCTGAGCTGGGAGGACTGATTGAGCCTGGGAGGTCAAGGCTGCAGTGAGCCATGACTGCATCACTGCACTCTAGCCTGGGTGACAAAGTGAGGCCCCGTCTCAAAAAAAGAAAAAAAAAAAAACCAGTTATATGTCATTTACTACTTACAAGAAGGTAACTGAAACAGTTGCACAGAAGAAATTAAGAATTTTGTTATAAGAATGAGAAGTGGTACAATTTTTGAGACACACAGCACTTTTTAGGGGAGGGGTCTGCTGACTGTGGCAGATAAGCTGAAGAAGGGAGCTGCAATGAGACTTAGGGCACTTGAGAGACTGGGGAGGGGAGCAATGGGAAGGACCTGGCTGCAGACAAGGTCGTGGGAAGGTGCCAAAGATAGACAATTTTATCTAGGCTTAACCCAGCATCTGGTAATCACGAAGGAAATTCTTCTTCCATTCCTTCATCTCTTTGGCTGTCAAAATTGAAAACTTAAGTTATAATCAATAATATTTTTGTTTAGTCGTAGTTTTGGGTTAAACAGTTTCATGGACTAGCCTGAAAACCAACTATTATTTATAATAATTATTTCTTTACAGAAACAAAAGACTTAAATATTCAAAACACAGATTGTTCTCAATTTCAAGGCTGCCTATACTACAATTTTTTTTTTTTTTTTTGAGACAGAGTTTTGCTCTCTTGCTAGGCTGGAGTGCAGTGGCATGATCTTGGCTCACTGCAACCTCTGCCTTCCAGGTTCAAGTGATTCTCCTGCCTCAGCCTCCCAAGTAGCTGGGATTACAGGTGCCTGCCACCATGCCTGGCTAAATTTTGGTATTGTTAGTAGGGACAAGGTTTTGCCATGTTGGCCAGGCTGGTCTCGAACTCCCGACCTCAAGTGATCTGCCTGCCTCAGCCTCCCAAAGTGCTGGGATTACAGGCATGAGCCACAGTGCCTGGCTTGCCTACACTACATTTTGAATCAGAACCAGAATTTTTGTGCTTACAGAAGAAAAGCTTACACACGATATCATTTAATTCCTTCATTTTACAGAAGGTAACTGGGGCATATAAGTGTAAGATGTTGAGCTGAGGTTAGAAGTCAGTTTTCCTGACCCCTGAGTGTTGTGCTTTTCCTAGCATGCTATCAAGTTAATTGTGGATAGGATGTATTCTTCTGAAGAAACACTACTGTACTTCTTCTCTTTAATGATAGTTTTAAAGTTATTATTATTTTCTGTTTTCAGGCTCTCTGCGTTAGTTCTGTTTTCACCTCTCAAGGCCTACTGGTGAATCTACAGCTTTCAGAAACCCATATTTAGATTTTCTTTCCTAGTTCTTTTTTTTTTTCATTTTTAAGCTGTTATTTATTGAACAAAAACCATTATTAAAACACAAAGTAGAAATTAAAATACAAGATAGGTTCATACAGTCTTGTCACATCACATGGTAAGTTCTAGGCTTTGTCAACATGTGCATATAGCTTTTAAATAATTGTCATTTATCAACTTTGTGCTTACATATTTTCAGCTCTGGCTCACTTTTTTTTTTCCCCATAACTGAGGGCTAAATTTACTTGAGAATGAAACAACTTATTGTAGTTTTGTTTTCACAGGTAACCAGCTAGGACTGAGGTATACAAAGTAAAAGAACTGCAGTTGGGGAACTAGAGGCTCTTAAGATGCCAGTCAGCTGAGAAGTCACTGTGGCAAGAGAAGAACTGTCAGAACTGTGCACGAGGCAGGTGCAGGGTCAAACGAGTTGAATAAGAAAGCTGGTAGCTAGAGGGGCAGGGTCCCCTGGGATAAGAAGTCCATGAAACAAACATTCCAATCTCAGAATGTAGCAGCTTTCTAACGTACTAGTGCCTCCTCTTTTTATTTTTTTACATCATGAGAATGAAAGCAATATCCATTGGTAAACATATGCAAAGGTTACAAAGACAGTAAATTAAAGACTAGAAAATGATAAAATCTTGGACTATCAGTTATACCATACTAGTAAACCAGGAAGGGAGCATAAAACTTACTTTCACTAGCCACATGATTAGCTGGAAAATAACCTTCCTGTCCCTTTCCTATGCTGCCATACCACCAGTCTTCATTATCTTTGAAAAACACTCGGATAATGTCTCCGCGATGGATGGTTAGTTCATCTGATCGATTCGCTGTGTAGTCATAAAGAGCCACTACCTAAGAGAGAGATAAGACCACCACAGCTTTATCACAACTGTACCACAGAGAAAACCCCCAACATTCACTTCCTCTTGCAGAAGAGCAGCTGAAACCAAAGCAGTACTTTGGTAAGTGTGAGGCTGTCTCAAGGTTTGCTAATGGGATGAGGGGTGGTGGGAACACAGCAGGAGAAGCAAGATAAAAGACTGTGGGATTGAGAAATGGTTATGAGCATTCAATACACTAAGATTAGCTTCAAAATAGCAGATGTTAATTTTTTTAAGTAAATTACTTGTGAAGCAAATAAAAAAAAGTTCGCATACCATTTACTTTTTTAGAATTGTTTTATACTACCTTTAAGTCTCATTCTCTGTGCTAAGCAGATGCCTCCGAAAAAAAATTCTTCAGAAGGTCTACAGTTTTACAAAAAGGAAGAATTCAGTGGAACAATGTGATTGCATCGCTTGGTTTACTGTTAATGTCTCTTTTTGAGATAAATTTCTCTACATACACATAAATTTTTTATGTTTTACATCAACAACTTAAACCTTCTATCTTTAAAAAGTATCCTTATAAGTTATTTTTACTTGATACGAATTTAAGAGGAAAAGCCTTTTTATGAGAATCCTCTTCTCTGTGTTAAGGTAATCCTATTTGGTTTCCTTTTCTTTTGAAAACCCAAGTCAAAATGATATGGCAGTGGCTGCACAGGAATTTAAAAATCCTTGGCTGGGCATGACGGCTCATGCTTGTAATCTCAGCACTTTGGGAGGCCGAGGCAGGAGGACTGCTTGAAGCCAAGAGTTCGAGATCAACCTGAGCAACAAAGCCAGACCTTCATCTCTATACAAAAAAATTTTAAAAAATTAGTTGGGTGTGGTAGTGTGTGCCTGCAGTCCTAGCCACTCAGGAGGCTGAGGTGGGAGGATCACTTGAGCCCCAGGGTTTGGAGGCTGCAGTGAGCTATGACTGCACCACTACACTTCAGCCTAGGTGCCTGGGTGACGCAAAAAGACCTTGTCTCTAAAAAAAAAAAAAAAAAAAAAGAAAAGAAAATCTCTTATAGTAGTTAAAAGGAGGAAGACCTCAATTCATTTTAGATTTAGATCTGATATACTGTATAAAGCAGGACATAACATCTATACTAAATAATACATTTATGCTGTTTTCCCCTCTACTTAAACAGTATCTGAAAATGTATAGCTTATACAACTACATATGTAACGGAAAATTACATATATATATATCATGTCTCAGTGTGCACAGCACGTGTGAGTCCAGGGAAGAGACACTTAAGAATCCAGTGTGGTGGAACCCGGCATTAGATGTGAGAGCTGAGAGAGAAGGGTACGAGAAGCTCAGGCTAATGGAGTAAGTAGGGCTCAGATCATGCGTGTTGAAAAAGTTTAGACTCAATAATATGGCCAATGGAAAGGCACAGAAGGGTTTTAACCAGAGGATTCCATTACAGTTCACATAGCTGTTTCTGGTACCTTTTAATCCATTTAACAATATTTATTAACACATCAACCAGGCAATTCTAACAAATGAGTTTGGACTTAACCGCTGTCACCATATAAGAGCAGTAATGATAATTTAATTCAAATGGCTCAAATGCAATGCCTATTGTACAGCTTAGCATAGTATCTAATTTACAACATGTGATGCAGGGTATTATTTAAGGTTTACAAGTTATAACTTTAGTATATTGATGTTAACTCGCTTATATAAAAGTGGAACTTTTAACTTTTCTCTTTGTTCTCCAAATTTCTCTTTCACTCTCTCACCTGGTACTATCATAGAAGAAGAAAGCTAATTAAAATGTACTGAGTGCTTACCATGTTCTAGATACCATGCTAGTTGTTTAGGTGTTATTCTGCTTAATCCTTATGACAACTTGGTGAGGCCAGGTATCCTTATTTCCATTTTATAAAAGAGGAATTTGATGTCCAGAGAAATTTAGGAACTTCCCTAAAGTCAAGTAAACTAGTAAGTGATAGAATCAAGACTTAAACTCAGTCTCAATCTCTCTCCTTCCTTTCCTTCTTTCTTTCTTTTCCCCTAGTTCCAAGAAACTCTATGATGGTTCGTTCCTGTTGTTCCTTATCCTGGCTGTGGTACACTGAAACACCACAACTTTAATGAGTCTCATGCAAATATGAGGTGAACGTATGCTTATATGTCTGGAGCCCTAGGTGGCTGTTGGGAAGGAGAACAGGTAAGATTCAGCTTAGGCAACAGAATCACTTAGGAAATCCTGCATCATGCTGTGTCACTGTGTGAACCTTGGAAAATCTGAAGCTTATCAAGTGAAGTCTGAAAAATTTTCCTGAATTTTACACACAGGGGTGTCTTGATAAAAGAATCCCTTCGAGGCACAGGGGTCCAAAAAGCCTATGAGAGTCGACATTACACCTTTTCTATTATAGTACCCACTGATTCTTCTCTTCTTACAGAACCAAATACACACATTAATTTTGCATGGCCCACTAGTACCTGTAAACATGTTTTGCACTCTGTGACTGTTATGGACTGAACTGTGTCACTCAAAATTCACAGGCTGAAGCCCTAGCCCCCAGTGTGAATGTATTTGGAGACACGGCCTTTATGGAGGTAATTCGGGTTAAATGAAATCATAGGGGTGGAGCCTGGATTAACAGAACTGGCATTTTTATGAAAGGAAGATACAGTGAGAAAGTGGCCATCTGCAAGGCAACAGGAGAGGCAGTAGGAGAAACTGACTGTGCTAGCACCTTCATCTTGGTCCTCTAGCCTCCAGAATTGTGAGAAAATTAATTTCTTCTTATTTTTTAAAAAAATTATTTCAATAGCTTCAGGGGTACAAGTGTTTTCTGGTTACATGGATGAATTGCACAGTGGTGAAGTCTGGGCTTTCAGTGTACCTGTCATGTAAATAGTATACACTGTACCCCACAGGTAATTTTTTGTTGTTGTTGTTGAGACAAAGTCTTGCTCTCTTGCCCAGGCTGGAGTGCAGTGGCGCCATCTCGGCTCACTGCAACCTCCGCCTCCAGGGTTCAAGCTATTCTCCTGCCTTGGCCTCCTGAGTAGCTGGGATTACAGGTGCCCGCCACCATGCCCGGCTAATTTCTGTATTTGTAGTAGAGATGGGGTTTCACCACGTTGGCCAGACTGGTCTCAAACTCCTGACGTCAGGTGATCCGCCTGCCTTGGTCTCCCAAAGTGCTGGGATTACAGACGTGAACCACTGTGCCCAGCCCCCGACAGGTAATTTTTCATTCTTCATCCCTCTCCCACCCTCCTTCCACTTTTCTGACTCCCCAGTGTTCATTATACCTCTCTGTATGCCTTTGTGTAGCTTAGCTCCTACTTTTAAGTGAGAACATGTAGTATTTGGTTTTGTTCCTGAGTTACCTCACTTAGGATAATGGTCCCAGTTCCATACAAGTTGCTGCAAAATATATTATTTCATACTTTTTAAAATGGATGAGTAGCAGTCCACATACATACACATACCACAATGAGAAAATAAATTTCTGTAAAACCACCCAGTCTGTGGTATTTTGTTAGGCCAGCCCTAGCAGGCTAGTACACTTTTAAACCTGATGGTATCAGATGAACCACTTACTACCACCCCAAGCCTAAAACTACAAATATGTAATGCCTCACTTGTATCCATTTCAGGTCCTCAGCAACTTACAGAACTGTGTTCCACACTATTAAGCTGTCATCTCCGGATGAAGCAATGTCTTTATCACAAAACTCTACAACCAGCATCCCTGGGAGGGTGATGACTGGTGATGCTACATTCTCTAAAGCAAAGAAATTGGAGCATGTCATCATAATACCATTGTTGACATTTAAGTACAGGCAGACCTCATTTTATTGTATTTCACAGTGTGGGGTTATAATATGTATTATGTTTCTGTTTCCAGGTCCTGGTTCATAACTCCCATATCCCTTGTTACAGTTTTTTGGTTTAATGGTGGGTATGTTAGGCCTTAGGGGCAAGCCTCAGAAAACAGAGTATCTCTGACCTCCTCCTGCCCTCCATTTACCTGCCCCAAGGTAGGGCTCTAATCACCACCCCCTACCTTTCTAACTGTAGGTCTTATGAACAGTCAGAGGGTCCTTCCGCCCTCTACCCTGGAGGAAGGAATGCTGATGTCACGGAGCTTCCATAAAAAACCCAAGAGGTGCTGCTGAATCCGGTTTGCCAGTATTTTATTGAGGATTTTTGCATCGATGTTCATCAGGGATATTGGTCTAAAATTCTCTTTTTTTGTTGTGTCTCTGCCAGGCTTTGGTATCAGGATGATGTTGGCGTCATAAAATGAGTTAGGGAGGATTCCCTCTTTTTCTATTGATTGGAATAGTTTCAGAAGGAATGGTACCAGCTCCTCCTTGTACCTCTGGTAGAATTCAGCTGTGAATCCATCTGGTCCTGGACTTTTTTTCGTTGGTAGGCTATTAATTATTGCCTCAATTTCAGAGCCTGCTATTGGTCTATTCAGGGATTCAACTTCTTCCTGGTTTAGTCTTGAAAGAGTGTAAGTCTGCTGCTATAAAGACACATGCACAGGTATGTTTATTGTGGCACTATTCACAATAGCAAAGACTTGGAATCAACCCAAATGTCCATCAGTGACAGACTGGATTAAGAAAATGTGGCACATATACACCACGGAATACTATGCAGCCATAAAAAAGGATGAGTTTGTGTCCTTTGTAGGGACATGGATGCAGCTGGAAACCATCATTCTTAGCAAACTATCACAAGAACAGAAAACCAAATACCGCATGTTCTCACTCACAGATGGGAACTGAACAATGAGATCACTTGGACTCGGGAAGGGGAACATCACACACCGGGGCCTATCATGGGGAGGGGGAGTGGGGAAGGATTGCATTGGGAGTTATACCTGATGTAAATGACGAGTTGATGGGTGCTGACGAGTTGATGGGTGCAGCACAGCAACATGGCACAAGTATACATATGTAACAAACCTGCACGTTATGCACATGTACCCTAGAAC